AGAATAACTCTCCAGAAAATTTTAATAGTTTAAATAATTATTACAAAGCCTAATAAAGTGAAGGCAAGACTGCCGAAATTAAAAAAAAAAAAAAAAAAAATATTATTGGTTGATTTGTGAATTTGTATTTTAATACTATACAATTCCAGAAAAGATAAAAAAAAAAACCAAGTAAACTTGTTTAATGTAAAATTTTATATTTAATTATAAATTTATAATTAAAGAATTTTTTTTTTTCTATGTATAAATTTAAATTAGCAAAATTTTAAAGTGCCATTTTAACAGTTAAGTAACTTTATTTAACTTATGTTTTATTATAATTTTATATAGTAAAAATACTCAGTATAATAGTGTGACAATATTTAACTCTCATCTAATTATAACCCAAGATTTGTACACTTGCTATTCTAGTTGTACTATACACTAGAGATGTGCCTCAACTAATAGTAACAAAACTTAATCTAGTTATATAGTGATTTTCATATTGGCAGATTTTTAAGTTACACAAAATTTAAAGTACGCCTCCAAAGTAAATAACAATATAAAAAAAATGTTATATAAAATTTATAATTATTTGAGAGTTGCAAACTCTATTTTAAATGATTCATTAGCACTTTTTGGTTCCTTTTGAAACTACTGGGATTGAATTTTTTCATATCTGGAATTAAATAATGGGAAATTTAATATTGGGAAAATAATAAATAACTATTAGTAATAATTTAATTTTAACCTACATTAATTACAGATTTACATTATTAAAAATAAAGATTCATATAAATTATTAAATAATTATTTATTATAAATTATATATTTAAAAATATCTAAAATTATTATTCTTAAAATCTAAAAAAATAGAACATTTACAATATTATTACTAGTTATTTAGTTATATAAACTTTTAACTATTATATCTAAGACTCTATATATATTTAATTAACACTTTTATTTTTTAATATTTTATATAAATAGATATTTTCTAGAGAATAAATATGCTATTTTCAAGTTATAGTATATGTAGTATCTAAATTTTATTATAAATTGTTCCAGATTTATTACTTAATATTTACTTATAATTTAATGTTTTAATTACTAGTGTTTGCATAAATTTTTTTTATAGCTATTAAAAATTGAAGCACATTTTATTAAAATTTAGTTTTTTAAATACTATTTACACTTTATAAAATTGAAAATTTCATAATATTAAAGAAGTAGTTAGGTTTAAAAATGATCGTTTCTAATTTATTGACTTTTTTTATTTTTATTAATTGCGCAAAATTTTTCTATAGCTATCAAAGATTAAAGTGTATTTTATTGAAAGGTTACATTTTAAAAACTATTTACACTTTACAAAATTAAAAAATTCGTTATATTAACAAAGTAATTGGGGTTTAAACATAATAGTTCAATATATTAAATTTGCCATTTTTAAAGTCTAACTACTTTATGAATATTGCAAATTTGTTAGTTTTATAAAGTGTAATTAATGCTTAAAGAACCAAATTTCAATAAAATGTGCTTTAATTTTCTATTTACTAATAAAAAAAAATTTATTCGTTAGATATTATTACTTTTTTTTTATTTACTAATAAAAAAAAATTTATTCGTTAGGCCATGCAAATTAAATTAGTTGGTTCTCGTTACATGCAACAAGCAAATAGGACCCGGCCGGCCGCAAAAAATGTTATATTTACAAATTTTTTTCATATAAAAAAAATTTTATAAATTTTATTTTTTTCATACAAGAATAAAAAATTTTATATAGAAAAAAATTTTGACTTTTCTAAAAAAGTTACCCGGCCGGGTAACGAGAACCAACTTTATTTGTTTGCATGGCCTTAGATATTATTACTTTTTTTATAAAATTTGTTAAAAACGTATGTCGTGTAACCTAAAAAATTGTGCATATATAAATCATTAAATAACCATATATTTGATTAGTTGAGGCGCAACCCTAACCATACACCTCGTAATTTGCGTTACTACGTTCCTGGTATATTGATACTAGACATTAAAATCTTACAACCTTCTGCAGCAAAAGAAATAGCTGAAAAACATTGAATCAAATTTAGACTAATAAAAATCTGAATCAGCAAAAAGCTTTCCAAAAACCTTGTTATAAACAAAATAAAAATACTTTTATTGATATTTCATGTTATAGTGTGTAAAGTCATAATAAAATTCACTGAACAATTTCGAATGAACATGACTTTTCATTTGCGCAATAAAAATTTTAACTGGAATTAAAATTTTAACTAAGTTTTATAATTCGATTTATAATGTGGCAAAAAAATTTCTATCTACTGGGTCATGAGATTTGGCCGAGTATCAGAATTTAAATAGCGATTGCGTAACTGATTTTGGTGGCACTCATATATTATAGCTGTTTTCAAAAAGGGAGTAACCATATATACACCATTATATTGTGGGAGATCCCGATTTCATTGATTCTGCGAATAAGGGAAATCAAAGAGAATCAAAGGAAAATCAGGGAAATCGTGCAGATTTCTCATGATATACTGGTGCGCACCTTTTTGAAAACAGTTGTAAATAATGATTTTCTTGCGATGATAACCCCGATTATATTGATATGATAAAGTAACAGACTAATTTATGACTAAATACGCGATTAAATCGTAAAATTGGATCTTTTATTTAGATAGGCTGCGGTTAATACAATAAATTTATGATAATATATTACAGAAATACTTTAAGATTTAACTCTATCTTCATTAATAAAGGACAAAAAGAAAAAAGAAGGTATAAGTGAATAGTTCACTCAATTAAATTTAATTTCATATTTGCGAGTATTTAATAGTAACCGCAACATTTTTCATCTATATATATAAAAAAAAAAAAAACCTCTCAAAGGTCTTTTTTTTTTTTTAAAAAAAAAAAAAATCAAAATAGATCGAAAAAAAAACTAATAATACAAGAAATGAATGATATATTATATATATGATGTATGTATAAAGTGGTGAAGTGTAGATGTATATATATGTAATGAAAACATTAAATTTATAGATTGATAATTTTTAGTTAAAACTAATATACTAGGTGAATAACTAAACCAAAATAAATATAATAGAGACTGTAATTATTTATGTATAATATAATCAAATTCTTTAGAAGCACATAAACTTGCTTTTCTTTGCCATAAGTTGTTCCATCTGAGATTCCAGTTGCAATTTCGCTCTTTCTGCCATTTGTTTTGCACGTTTTTCTTTTTCCAATGTTGCTTCGATAGCTTCTTTTTCTTGTTGAACAGTTGATCTTGTTTTTTCAAATTGTATAGTTGCATCTTCTAATTGATTTTTCAAATTCTTTACTTGACCTACAAGATCCAATTTTTCATGCTGTAATACCTGCAACTCTTGCCTAGCAATTTGGAGGTTTTTCTCTGTATCATTAAGGGATTCTTCAAGAGTTTCAATGAGTTGACAATTTTGAAGATTTTCTCCTTCAATTGTCGCGATTTTCTTATTAAGTTTTTGAACTTCCAAAGTTAGATCTTGTGAAACTCGAGGAGGTGGTGAAGGACTAGTTGGTGGTAAAGGCAGTGGTTGAGTTGGTGGCGGAGCCGGTGGAGTTTTGAGATCTGAATATCGTATCGAATTCTTTTTAGAATCTCCTCCCACAGCATCAAGTTCTGCTGAAACAGGTCTTCCAAGACTAGGTGATCGTCGTTCGAGTTCGTTGATTTTGTCTTGAAGAGTCTTGATAAGATTATTTTGTTGAGTAATTGTATTTTCTTGGTGTATAAATTTATTTTGAAGAACATTGTCTGTATTATTTAATGTGCGTGTACTTCCGGATACATATCCTGAATCTAACGAATCTGTATCATTTGGAGACTTTGGAGATTTTGGAGATTTAGGAGATCTCAATGCTGCATCACTTTTTCCTTGCATTAATTGTTCATTTATTTCTAATAGTCTCATCATTTCCTTTTCCTTTATTGCAATATCTTCTCGTGATTTTTGTCTCGCTTGATCTATTTCATTTTCTAAAGTAGAAATCTTTCCGTTAAGATCTGCGAGATGAGCTGCAGTCTTATTTCCACTTTTACCCGCTGACGTAAGTTGTTGCGTTAAAGATTCTATCTTTTGATCAAGTTTTTTATGATCTTCCAAAAATGTCGCGTTTGCTTCTTCTAATACTTGTTTTTCCATTTCAAGTTCATGGATCTTTTCTTTTAACGTCTTAACGGATTCTATATTCTGATCATTATTTGGAGACTTTGCGTTCTCGAGTTCACGTTGTAAAGTTGTTATTCTCTCATTCAATGATAATATACGATCCTCCGCTTCAGAAATCTTGGTGTTCAAATTGTCATTTGTATGCCTTAAAGTTTCATTCTCTGCAGCCAGTTGTGCAAGACCAGAATCCGAATTACCTTTTTGATTTTTAAATGTTTCAAGGGTTTCTTCCAAATGAACAATACGATTCTTTTGCTCTTGTAATGTAGCTTCAGAATCCTCATATTTGATAGCAGCTTCAGCAAATTCTTCTGCAAGTGATTCAAGTTCTTTTTGTAATCGTTCAACTTGGTTATTAAGTTCACTTTTTATTATCAAATAATCCTCATTACTTGATCGAAGTTGTTGTGCTGCATTTTCAAGTTCTTGGACACGTTCTTTATAAGCCAATGATTCGCTTTGAACACTCTTTAATTGATCGGTAAGGTCCTCAATCATTTTACTATCAATAGCAACATTATTAGATTCTTCTACAAGTGATTCAAGTTTTCCTTGTAATTGTTCAATTTGATTATTAAGTTCATTTTTTATTTTCAAATACTCTTCGTTACTTGATCGAAGTTGTTGTGTTGTATTTTCAAGTTCTTGGACACGTTCTTTATAAGTTAATGATTCGATTTGAACACTCTTTAATTGATCGGTAAGGTCTTCTACCATTTTATTGTCAATAGCAGGACTTTGTAAATTACTTGATTCCTTTTCTGCTGTTAAAAGTTTAGTCTCTAACTCTTGAATAGTTTTACGAAGATGTGAACCAGCGGACTTTGATTCTGCAAGTTTGTTCTTCATATCAGTTAGTGAATCAGAATCCTCTGAAACATCAGTATCTGATATTGAACCGTTTAATTTAGTCTCAATATCCATTATAGTTCGATTATTAACAATTTCAGCTTCTTTAGTCAATGCTAATTCTGTTCTTAATTTAATGAGGTTTTCATCAATAATACAACCATTTTCAATTAAACGAGTTTCTAAAGCAGTAATTTTTTCGCGTTGAGCAATTTCAATCTTTCGCATACTTTTTATTTCATTACGAAGATTTTCTTCTTCGGACTTTAAAGCTTTTAACCGATTTTGTGCGAGAGATTCTTTTTCTTTTGCATCTTTAAGTTCTTGTAAAAGTTCTCCTGAATTATTACTAGGATCATTACTAAGTATTCGAGTTTGAAGTTCTTCAATTTCCCTTGAAAGATTTTTATTATGTTCTTCTAATTGTATTAAGTGAACTTTAAGTTCTGAAACTTCTACTTCTTTTTCTTTCAATTTTTGTTGCATCGTACCCTTATCAACCAAATCTCGTTTCAAATTATCTATAAGTTCGTACTTTCGTTTAATGTCAGTAATGAGTATTTCTAATTGACCTTGTATAGAAGAAACCAATTCTTGTTCAGCTTTTAAATCTTGACCATTATTAGATTTACTAACAAGATCACGTTGCAGGTCCGAAAGTTTTGTTTGAAGAGCATTTAAAGTTTTATGTGCAGGGTCAATCATTGTAAGTAAAGAATTCATTGGTGTTGGAATATGTTGTTGGGCTTCTTTTGCTTTTGTTAGTTGAACTTCCAATTCTTTAACTTTATCTTCTAATTCCCTAACATTTTCGTCAACATTTTGTTCAAGCTTATCAGATGATGTCGCATCATTATGAGTAATAGATCGATTAACATCTTCTTCAACGGTCTCAGATGTGATACTCGATTTGCCATATTTTTCTTTCATTGCTATACGATGAGCTTCTTTAACTTCTTGAAGTTCGTCTTCAAGACGACGAATAGTATTTTGATATTCATTTGGAAGTAAAAGTGCAGCAATGGTATGACTTTTCGATTCAATTTCAACTTGAAGTTTTTCAATCTGTCGTCGGTGTGCCAAAAGTTCATCATTTTCATTCTCCGATTTCGAAGCATCTGCATTTTCACCTGGTCGTGAACCTTCAAGAGATACTTCGTCAACATTCCCTTTATTTTTTTTATATTCTGAAAGATGTTCCATTTCTAATCTTTGTTCTTCCTTAAGTTGTTCAACTTCTTCACGAAGTCGTTGAACAATATCAAGTTTATCAATTTCACTAATGTTTGAAGGAGTATAACCTTCTGTATTAGAGTGATCTGAAGTTATCACAGACATAACTTCTAATTGTGCCAACGCATCACGTCTTTTGATCTCTTCACGTAACTCTTCAACAAGTTCAAGAGTTTCACGATAACACATTTCCAACCGAGCAAATTCTTGTTTAATAGAAACTAAACCATGATCTTTATCTTCATTAAGTGAAGAAAGTTGTTTAAGTTCATTATTTAATTTTTGCATAATAGCAAGATGAACCAGATCACGTTTTTCAGAACCTTTAATTTCTGCAGAAAGTGATCTGGCTTTTCTGTGATGAAAAGTACGTTTAGAAGCATCAAGAGTTTTATAAAGAGCTTCTTTACTAAATTCATTAGAACGTGTCGTTTGTGGAAGTGAAAATCTAAAAGAATTAACACTATTCGTACTCATAGGGGACATAGGTGTAATAGGTGTTGACGGAGTTGATTTGAAATTATCATCTATTTCAGAATTAATTAATCTAGCTTCTGTTAATTGCACACGAAGGTCATCTATTTCGGCAACACACGATTGATATTTATCCTTCATTTCATTAAATTCTTTCACAGTATCTTCGTGAGTTTTTTGTAATTCAGAAAGTTTTATTTCCAAAGCTGAAATGTTCATTCGTTCATGCTCACCAAGAGGAGTAATAGATTGTGATGTTGATAAACTATAATTAGAATTTGTGGAAAATTCTGAAACAGAACGTTCATGAATATCAATTTCATCAGAATTAGAAAATTCTCGTAATCTATCTAATTCTTTCATGAGTAAATCAACTTTTTGTTCAAGTTGAGAGATTCTTTTATCACGATCATCAATTTCATTTATTAATATTTTCTTATCATCAACTTCCATAAGTTTCATACGATTCTCTAAATCTTGATAAGCAGCTTCACGATCCTGGAGACGTATTTCGAGGTTTCCAACATTTTGACGAAATTTGCTTAATTGTTCCTCACTTACAGCTAAACGAGATTCTAAACTTTGAATATAACCTTCACTATTATCACCATTTGATTTTAATTGAGTGATTTTGTTCTTCAATTCATTTATTAAATCTTGATCTTTTTGTTGTTCTGTAGATTGAGCTTCAAGTTTAGATTCCAGATCTTTAATATAATGTTCGGTGGTAGATTCACGTTCGTTAAATCTAGCAACTTTATTTTTTAAATCATTTATCAAATTTTTATTTTGTTCATTAGCTTGTTCAGCATAAATTAATTTTTGTTCCTGCTCTTGCATCGTTGTTTCAGAATGTGATAATGCAGCTCGTGTAAGTGCAAGTTTACTTTCAAGAGCAGATATTGACTTTTCGTATTCTTCGATTACGGGTTCAACAGCTTCCTGAAAACTTGCAGAAAAAAGTTCTTCTTTTATGGGTTTCATTGATGGTTTTGATTTAATGTCATCCTGTTGTATTTTAACTGAAGAAGATTTTGATGGAGTTGTCCCCACATCATCAGAATTATCTTGATGTAAGGCAAGTTCAGCAGAAATTTTAGCATATTTTTGTGTTAAATCCGCATAAGATCGTTGAAGTTGTGAGAGTTGTTCTTCAAGTACTTCAACGTCTTTATGATTTGGATTAGCATTACCCAGAGCCATATTTATTGAAAGTGGAGTTGAAGGTCGTTTTAGATGACTTTGATAACTTGGAGTTTCTCGTCCGCTTATACCCAACGGAGTAGATCTCCCGGAAGCGGGCGTACTATTACCTCCAAAACTTCCATTTGCTAAAGCATCAGCAGCTCTAAGAGCTTTAATTTCATTTCTTAATTTAGCCACTAAAGATTGCAAGTGTTCTATATCATTCCAACCGGCCTCTTCTTGATTTACAACAGCAGTATTTTTAATATTACGAGCTCTATTTGCATATTTAAGAGTGTTAACAGTTTCATCAAGATTGTATTCCGCTCCTGATACACAAGCAATCATTAATGTTTGAGCATTTCCACCAAGAGAATCCTGTAATAAACGTGTTAGCTTTGAATCTCGGTAAGGAATATGTGTTGTGTGTTTAGCCTTGCTAGGGTCACCAAGAGCAGAAATAACATTTCCTAAAGCTAAAAGACCAGAATTAATAGATATTCCTTCTTTAACACGATCTCCTACAGTTCCGGTCTTTTTTAGCTATAATACAATTAATACAACAATTAGAATTAGTGATACAATTATTTTAATAATTTATGTATCCCATAAAAAAAGAATATATACCCTCTCACTACCAGCCAAATCCACAAAATGGAATTTACTAGTAACAGAAATCCATTCACCACTACCATCATCAGATCTTTTATTACTCAACCTAGAGCTCGATCGTGACGGAGGTCTAATTCCAGTTTTCAATTCAGGTATCTCCGGTGTCATTGACCTACTACCACCTCCAGTACCCGACACAAATTTATGTTGAATCAACGTTACGGAGAATATTGCATGTGATCTAGAAGATTTCTGATTCATATCTGTTGCACCAACTTGACGATTCAACGAACCTCGTGACAAATATCTGGTTAAAATAATAATAAATGGTTTAATAATCATATTCATTAATAAAGGGTCACCAAAAAAGCTTTTTTTTGGTTTTCTTTTTTTTTTTATTAATCGACTCACCCCATAACCTCATCGACCGAATTAACTTTAATTTCTTGTAATCCACTCCATAAAATATGACCTTTAGAATCTTCTCTTATAGTAACCTGAGGTCTACTTTCACCTTCACCTTCACCAAGTAAATCAATTAAATCTTCATTATAAATTTCAATAAATGAAACTTTAATCTGAAGTTTACGAGATTTATATTGTGTGGAATTTATAATGTCAAATAAGGTTTGCATTGCTCGAGGAACTATTCCTTTCTGATCAGCAGGAATCTTGGATGAGTCTGACGTGCCCATAGTATAAGTCTTGCCTGAAGAAGTTTGACCATATGCTAAAATTGTTACGTTGTATCCTGTGTGAAATTTCGAGTAAAAGTGAGAATTAAATTTTTTTTTTCTTTACATGAGTACATGAGTACATGAGTATATGAGTATACGAATATACGAGTATACATGATAAACATCTTCCCCGAATATATTATATTACATATTATAAAATACATACCTTCTATAAATTTATCAATCAATTTTAATACAGCTTTTTCATAAACTTCATTCTGTAAAGTTTCCGGACTGAATACATGATCAAAAGAATAAAATTGTTTCTTTTCACCGGATACAATAACTTGATTTGGAGCATGTGGTGATGCAGATAAGACTTGTCGTTGAAACCTTGGTGGTAACGTTTTCTGATCTTGATCGGTTAACGGTCGTATTCGTAAGGCTATTGATGCAAGGGTGGTAATTAGTGATGAAAAAAAAAAAAATAGATGCAATAGATAAACAGATAAGTGAATGAGTGATAATGCTGTGTCGAAATTATTTAATTGCTAATGATGTATAATGGTAAAACAAAGTCGGATCATTTTAGCTAATAATTAATATTGTTCTTATTGTCATTATTCATTATTACGATTGTTGCTGATCATATAAAGTCATATATTCTTTTGAATCTTTCGATATTTTTATATTTAAACATTTACTTTTTTATCTTTACTAACTAATAAAGTTGTTTTTTTTTTGGGTTGACTATTAATTATATTTAATTATATTTAATTATATTAATTATATTTTACAGACCTACTTGTACCGAAGTCTTTTCAGAGCTTGCCATTATTATAGTTTATTACAACGGAAAAGCAAATAATAAAAAAAAAAAAAAAAGACAGTTTACAGGTTCTTTTTTTATCCACTTATCCGCAGACAATGGAATTAACGAAAATTAAAGAAATTAACAATATGGATGCTTTTCTTTTTTTTTTAATATTAGCAATTCGTGAGCAAAGAATAAAATAAACGTTGATGTTTCGTATATATGCGTATGGATTTTATGAAATTCTTCTTGATGTATGTTTTTAAATTTATTATTATTGTATATATATATAAATTTTTTTTTTTTTTTTTTTTTTTTCGGCGGAACAGAATTGGCAACTGGTAATTTTAATAATAGAATGGAGCTTTTTAAAATAAATTTATACAAGTAATATATATATACACATATATATATATATATATTATATATTTTATAGGGTTCCAGCCCGACTTTTCGAAGAAGAATAACACAAAATTTTAAAGTAAAGGTTATATATAAATTATTTTACGAAATGTCAACCGTAAAAAAAGAGAGGTGACCGGTTTAAAAGTTGTTGGAAAGAAAGGTAATTGTACGCTATTCGTAACAAAGGGTTAGATAAAATTCCCGATGAGGGTATATCAAATTGAGTAAGGCGTGGCGCTAAATTTGAATCAAATTGGTAATAGAAACTTTTATTTTTGATAATATAAATCACCAATATGATTGTACTTCCACATCGGCTGTACGATTCTTGATTTGGATGGGAGCCGATTACATATTGAAAATCGATCACAAGAGCTACGACGTATTTCAATTATGGATTAATAAATGATGATCTTGACGCACGGTGTACAGAAATCATATTAAGTGTCTCGTGAGTTGTCTTAAAAAAGAACGCAGTAAGGAAGAATTGTCAAATTGAAATAAGCAAACAAACATTTCCAGGATTTTTTAAAAAGGCAACGAATTACAAGAGAAGAATGGAATCTTAAAAGTTTTCGAAACGGTTAGTGCGTGCAAAAAAACCATTATAGTTTAAGAGCTAAAGGTTAATTTTCAATTAATATTATCTGAAACTAATCAATTTAGTGTAAATGAATGTTATGAATGTTTAATTACTGAAATTATATATTTTTGTCAACAAAAAGAATTTTTTCTTAATAATCTGCAACATATTATTTACATTCTTAATTATTAACGTTATTAACGTTATTTATACGCAACAAATTAGAGATCACTATTTATGGAATTCAACGAATATATACAGATATCGATATATACAGAAATATATTTGCAGATATATACAGATTTATATCAGATTATTTATTTTTTAAAAAACAGGTAAATATCAAGTTTTTAAAAGAATCAATGTTTTTGATTATATTATATACATTCAAGTAGTATTCAAGTTCGAAAACTTGTAATACATGTCATGCATTAAAAAAGATTGAGACATCTCAGTGCATAACAAATAATGATAAAATTGTAACAAATCATTAGGCAATGTTTTGGTGCGGCATCGGATGGAACAATGATGTTTTCCGCAATCATTAAATATAACAGGGTTTTTCATTTTACATAATAATTTTCTTGATATATTCGAAACATTTGTAATTTACCTCCAATTATTTTATATTCGATTTTGTTTCGTGGATTTCTTGAATTAGCATGAGAAACGTTTCCTTTTTTGACTTAGTAACCTCGAAAAAGGAGTATTAAGAATTCACCTCGGAAATAATTCGTAATTAATCTAACGCATAAATTGGTTACCTCTTAAATATTAACGTTAATTTTCTAACTAACGCTAATTAAAATAAATGATTTACTGCTTTAATACGTAAAATTTAAATAAATCTTCATTAAAAGCAATATACTTAATAAGTATATAATTTTTCATTGAACGGACGATCTTGAGGCTAATTATTATAATTTATCGCATTGTCTCGAATATTCCCCATCAGTTAAAGTAAGCGTGCACAATGGCTAAGTTACTCCTTTCAGCTTTGAAGGCATAAAAGTATGTACATACGCACGTTCTTCGTTTCTTTGACAATATTAAATTTCTCCAGGATTGATTAATGTTTTTTCCAATTTTTCACAAAAATTATTTGAACAAATAAAATTATTGTTTAATCTAAAATTCGCATTTATGTAAAATGAATATCATTAAAAAAGGTAAGTTTCGCCATTCGTCGACTAATATCAAAAAAAAAAAAATTTCTTTTTTTACATACTTCAGTACTTACGTACAATAAAGGTGCAGGATCTGTAATACACATTAAGTTTCTGTTAAACGTTACACTTTATCTCACAAGGTGTGTCCTCCCTAACTCTTGCATCCTTCACGAGGGTTACACCCTGTATGTTAGGAATTACAAAATTTTTTGTGAGGGGCTGTCTAAAAATTTACATATGTACATATGTACATACATATGGCGCGCAGTACTTACCGATGCATGCACTTAAATGGTACAAACCCCTAAAAAAGGAACTAGTTGGGCATAAAGGATCGTAAAATGATTTAGCAAATCCAAAAACTGAAAAATACCGGAAACCTATCTTATCTATAACAAACTTATTTTACCATAGATCGAAATTCTAGTCTTTACCATAATGAAATTAGCCCCAAACTAAAACATTAATTATTCTATATATATTTCCGGGCTTGTATTACTCTAAAATTTAAGTAAAAAAAAAACCAACCGTTATAATAATTATATATATATATATATATATCATACCAAAGAATTTATATATCCAGTATTTTATAGATTTTGTGCCAAGTGTCCGGATGGCTATCGATCAACGAATATGCCCCTTAATTTGGTCAATAAATAAAAATATTTTAATTTGGCTCCAATTTAATATATCCAATTTTATAGAAATTGTTTAGTTGAACCCACCATCCGGGTTATCCATGTGACTAGAAATCTGGTGACCCCCAATGAAATATATCGATATAAAGTAATTGTTACGCAATACTTCTGATTTATTCTTGTTAATCTAATAGGGAAACATAATGATACTTAATATAATCTATACATTTCAAGTTCATAAATCTTTATATACGTACTATATATTGCGTAATTTCCTTCATTTATTTGAGGATATATGTTCTATTAAGTTCTATTAAGTCCATGGACTTTATTTTTAATCACCCCTATTCACGCGACTAGCATGATATAAAGATATTTTTATAATTTGATGTAATATCTAATTTTAATCACGCTGATTAGTTAGTTATATAGTGAATATAACAAGAAAAAAAATAATAAAAAAATTTCAAAAAATAAATTAAACCTAAAAAGTAACGGTAATGATCCAATTACAGAATTAAGAACTTTCTGGACTCTCTTGACCGGGATAGCCCGGGTAATTTCCAATCACTATATACATATTAGATTAAAATGCTGCTAAATATATATTAATTGTGAAATTTTCTAAACAGACCGGAACAGATGGTGCATCAAAGTGCCTAATCCTGCGGATAATGTAAGATATATCTTTTGTTGAACTAAATAGAATGCTTCAGAAACTTTCTACTATTTTAAGGAATAAAAGGAACTTGATTTTTTAAGTTGCCAGTTCAAATTTAGGTTTGAATATGCCCTGAAAAATAATTTTTCCTTGGGCAGACTACCTCATTTTATATATGTAGTGTATGTATAAGAATCTTAAATATTTTAAAGTTTAACGTATATTAAAATAGAAGCAATAAGTATTTATTAGTAAAAATATCTTACTAGCTACTGTATACATCATGAAAAAAAAGCTAGACACTAAATGATTACAACAAAGTAGGTATTGTGATGGATTGATCTAGTGATCGATTTCTCCGAATGAGAATAGTATGGTATAGAAATCACAATTAATTATTAACATGTTGAATACAGTATTATCTACTTGGAAGAGCAATTTACTATAGAACTTAGCTTGCCAGGAAATTGTAAATTAATTTTTTAATTAAAAGATTTCTTTAATGTTACATATTTTTGACTTATAAGTTACTCAAACTTTTTGTTATACTGTAGTATACAAATAAATATATTAATATACAGTATACAAAAAAAAACAATTTCATTTTTAAATATATATACTGTATATATAACTAGAGTATATAAAGTTTTATTTAACACAAATTTAACCCTTATTCTTAATACATATATATTATATCATTCTTCTCCAATACGATAGTTTCTTCCACAAGGGTTATACATAACAACTCGGGTTGTCTAAAGCAAATCTAATTGCAAAACATAGTGTAGTATCTCTTGAATTATACTTCTCCTATTAACGTACAACGCTCTTTTTATTTTTTTGTATATATACGCAATGTTACGCTAAAAATCATATTAAGAAAAGTCTAAAAAATATAATTTTATTAGTGTAAATTTACTTATTTACACAAACGCCAATTTCCGTTAAATAATAAAAAAAATTGAAATTACTATCCTACCACCTGCACCATCGTTATCATACCCCCCCCCTAGCATACGTAGTAACAGATGATCACTCATCAATGCTATATCTATATTGAGATTTTTACCGTTACCGTCATTTTGTCATTAACTTTTATTTGACAGAATCAAGATACATGCATATCTTACAATTTCAAAGTTTGATTACTAATAAATAAAATATTAATAATGAATAAATCAATGATAATAAGGAGAAAAGTTGTTACATTTTAAAATAATCATTGTGGCATGACGATAATGAAAATTGTAATTTATGTATTAACGATTTTATATTGACTTTCATTAAAAAATATTTCGATAACTTACATGCATTTCAAAGCTCGAGAATTAGCAGTTATAAGTAATAGCAAAACACACAAAAAAAAAACAAGAACAGTTCAATTTTTATATCGATATTAATATATTAAAAACCAGCAAACGACAATAATTCGTGTAACAATTACTCTTCGTACTCGTGATATTTGAGCGTCGCCAAGGAAAAATCTGAAATTTTAATTACGGAAACTCTGCTTATAGAAATAGACAATATCAAACTCTTACAGTATAAGCTGTTTATGAAAA